CGCGTGGGGCGCCCCCGCCCCCCCCCAGCCTCTCTTTCTCTAGTTGATTTCCCCAGTGTCTCTCTCTTCCCAACCTGTGCTGCCAGCCCCTGCCCTTACCCTACTACCATCTGACTTCCTTCTGGCATGTTTCTGCATGGAGCTGACTAGGGAGGGGAGGGATTCTAAGAGGAAGACAGCCTGGGGGCACGGTACCTCCTCGCTACTCTCCTAGAATGGGTTTTGAGGTTTTGCTTCTAGGGCCCTGGGTGCTGGTGTCTGGGAACTCTCACCAGCCTAATACCGGTCTTGCTTTAGGGTGCTCCTCTGGCCCTGGAGCATGGGCAGTTGGCCTCGGGGGGATGGGCTGCCTGCCCCGTTTTTGCTGCTATAGCTGAGTCATCCTTTCCCCTTCCCTCTGCTGAGCAGCTTGGAGGTACCCTAACCCAAAACTCTGCCTTCTCCTCCCACCAGTGGCTGACAGTAGCTGTAGGTGTAGTTGAGAACTTTTCTGCCTCTGCTGTGTTCTTGCTGCTCTGGGCCGGGCGGGGACTAACAGCTGGTGGGAGGGGAGCCAGGGTCAGAGAACTGGTCAGACTCAAGGTGGCTTCTCTGCAAACTGACCCCGAGGTTGGTTGCTGTGGGCATGTTCCCTCTTGTGCTACCTCATGGTCTTGTCGTCTCCTGGCCCCTGGCGTGCCCCTCCTAGCCCCACTCCCTGGCTCACCCCACCTTTCCTTCCCACAGAGCTCGTCCGTATGGTGCTGAATGGCTGAGGACATGCCCAGTACCCCAGAACCCTGTGCCTTTCCCTGTGTGAGACTCTGTATCTAGTCCCGAAGCGTCCCAGGCTTCCTGGTCACAGCACCTTTCCCATCTTGTGTCTCCTGGATGATGTTTACCGCCAGCATTCACCAAATAAACTTGCTCTGTGCCCCCCAATTGGGTGCTGCGTTCCTTCCTGAGCAGGGTGAAGGGGAAGAAGGTGAGAAAGCGATGGTTTCTGCCGTGAGACAGAGTCCAAAGCCACTGGATCAGGGGTTGGGGAAAGCTGGGGAAGGGCCTGGAATAGCCAACTCTGCCTTGTTTGAGAAATGCCACTCCCAGAGAACCAAGTTTCAAAACTCCCCTTGGGCGTTAGGAGTGCCGCACCAGCCATAGGACCAAGGCTGGCCATCCTTGTTCCATCCCTGTCAGGCTCTCTTCTAGCCCTCCAGCTCCTGAAACCCAGCACGTCCCTCCCAAGCACTGAAGGCCTTTTGTGGGAAAGCCTAGGGAGTGTCAGAGTTAAAGCCAGGCAGTATTAGCACTGCCTGGGCCTGCCGGTCACCTCCTCACCAGGGCCTGGGGCCAATAACAACAAAGTAGGTGAGGGGCCTGCCTTCTCCCTAATAAGGGAAGGAATGAAGCCATGACTTCTGAGGGGATAAATATACAAAATCTCCACATTGTGGGGATGTCCTTCCAAGTCCTTAACAGCTATTTTTAGGGCAGGTGGGAGCCTCTGCTCCTGTACCAACCAGTGCGATCCGACAGCTGTGCTGCCTCTCGCCTTGCGTGGTGAGAAGCCTGGTGTCTGTGGGCGTTGGGACTTGCAGAGTGCATTTAGAGCCAAGCCTGGCAAATACCCTGTGGAGGGCCCCGGGAGTGCTGCCCCAGTCCAACCCCCTGCCTGACAGCCACAGGTAAGAACACAGAAGTCATCCACAAGATGGAACTGAAAGCAAATTAATTTATAAAAAAAAAAAAAAAAAGAAAGAAAGAAAGAAAAAAGAAAAAGGGAAAAAGAAAAGAAAAATTTACAGAAACCTTTGAACAGAAGAAAGGGGCCAAGACGCAAAGGAAGAGAAACACTGGGACGTGAGGAACAAAGGGCCTGGTGGGAGGGAACAAGACTTGGTGGGAGCCTGGAAACAGCCGCCATCAGGTGGTCAGGGGTGAGGGGAGGAGCTGCGCAGGAGGCACTGGATCCAGGCAGTGGAGTCCAGGTGAGGGCCTGCACTACCATAGTTGGGCACCCTCCACTGCCTCCAGATCTGTGTCCTCACCTGGGGATCCCCTAGCTATCTGTCAAGGTTCTGACCGTCTTGGGTAGAGAGAAGAGGTTAGGATGTGACCCACCAAGTCATGAGGAGGTGCTTAAGTGCTTTTTGAAAATGTAAGGTTTGTAAAATGTCCCGCTGTTTTCAGCTCCCCTGTCCATGCCTGCTAGGAGGGCACTGGCCCAGCCCAGGGAAGGGCCGGGGAGCAGCCCAGGGCCCTTTCTTCCTCTATTACCTACATGGGACTTCCCCAAATGTTTCCCCCACCAAATACACATACGCTGACATCAACTAAGCAGGTGACTTTTAAAAACAAACACAAAACTGACATTTGGAGGAAAAAGGACCACTGGCTGAGCAGGGGTGGCCTAAAACAGCAATAATGAGGAAGCAGCAGGAGAGATTAGTGCGGATAAACTGGGGGGCAGGTGAGGGGAGGTGGGGAGTTCACTCAGTCACTAACCAGGGACCTGGGGGAGATTCTGCCCCTATTCTATCCTCAGCTCTCCCCAGGACCTTAATTCCCCTTTCCTAAAACTTCCACCCCCACTCCTCAAAAAAATGTACAAGTTGGTTATTTTTTAGTGAGTTGAAAGAAGTTCCATAACTTTTTAAAATCTCTCTACTTCCTTTTAAAAGGGCTTAATTTCTTTTTATCCATAAAAAAAAAAAAGCAAGTTTTGAGGGAGGGTGCACCCTTCGAAGTGGCTAGTTAGAACCTCGTGTAAACACCTTTCCCAGCCCTTCTTTGGAGGGCTGCATTCGCATTTTAACCTCCTCCCCAGACATTAGAAACATCTTTTAAGCAGAAGTCCTTGAATAATCCAGTACAAAAATGCGTGCCTCTGTTAGGCATGGCGGGGCTTTGGAGGGGCAGGAAGAGCTTTCCTTACGTAGTGATGAACTCTCCAGGCTGGGGAAGGGTCCCAGTGGTGGGGGGAGGGCTGTTCCTGGACCGTGATCTCCATGAGGGGTGAGGGGAGAGATGTCTGGCTGGCTCCTCACTGTGGAGGTGGCACAGGGGTGACTGTGCCTGGGCTTGGGGCTGTGGGGTCTGGAGGCAGGGGGGTGCCTGGGTCTGTGGAGAAAAAGAAGACCAATTAGCCAAGATGAGTAGGAGAGGGATGCAGACCCAGGCTACCACACGTACACACACGCAACTGGGCATGGCATGCAGTGGGTGGGTAGATGAATGAGGTACCCACAACTTCCTTTTCCCAACACCCTCTTCCACCTCAGAGGGAAAAACTAATTAAAAAAAAAAAAAATCCTCCTCCTGCCCCCACAGGAACTCTAAATGGGGCATTTCTGCGTGATGGAAACAAGCGAGGGGTGCCAATCAATCCTCATGCAAATAGGTAGCTGTTTTTCAAATTCACAACTGAGATGCTTTGTGCCACAGGACTCCTCCGTGACCCACCAGTGAAAGGCCCCGTCATCCCAGGGGTGGCAGCTGCCAGGCTGGGGAATGGTGGAGGACAGCCAGAGAGGCCCTTCCTCCTGTGTTCTAATTTTACCACAATGTTCAAAAACGGTTGTGGAAGCTAGTACCTGACCCATTCCCCACCTGCCCTCCCAACTCCCTTCGCGTGGACCCCTCCCCCTCCCCGTTCTCCCCTTCTGGCCCCTTCTCACCTGGCAGTGGGCTGGCACTGGGCAGGAGATTGCCCTGAACAGCTGCCACAATGGCAGGGCTCTGGGCTGCGGCGGGTCCGAGCCCCGGCCCGAGAGGCAAGGAAGATGGCATGGTGGTGGTCGCCGGCAGGTTAGGATGTAGAGGGTTCGCCATGGACACAGGCAGGTTAGGTGGGGGGAGTGTGCCCGGGGCGAACGGGAGATGGTGGTGATGCCCATGCAGGTTAGGAGGAGGGGGGAGGTTAATACTGATGGAGTCGGCTAGACTACCGAATGACATGATGGATGGAGCAGGAGGAGGAGGAGGCGGCATGCCAAAAGGCAAACCCAAAGGAGCATTACCCGCCACGCCTGGGTGCCCGCTGCCTGGCACTGCCCCTGGCATCATTGAGGGAGGAGTTTGTTGGTTGGGAAACGGTGAGGGGCCTGGGAATGAAGATGACAAAGAAGGCTGGAGTAAACTCTTGCTCAACTCAGTTTCACAACGAGGATAATCTGCCCATTCTTTGACACCATTTGCCCATTCCTGACACTGAAACAAATGATAAATCCTTGGATAAAATTCTAGAGCTCTGAGTTTGGGGAGGGAATCCCTTCTGGCCTAAAGACAGCAGAGGCAGGCCTGTCGGTAGAAAGGCCAATTCTCAGCTCCAGACACATCGTGTAAACTCTGTGAGGGAAACTGGGACAATCACCCTGGTCCCTCTAGCCAGCAAGAGTTCCAGAACCCATCACTTACCATGGGGTCCAGGGGGGGCTACCCCTGGTGGGACTGCCCCAGGCTGGGGGGCTCCACCTGGTTGCTGCTGCGGTGGCCCTGCGGTGGACCCTGCCTGCCCGATCTGTTCAGAAGGGCCCAAGCTTCCAGGAGGGGCCCCACTGCCAGGAGGAGCAGGGGCCACAGAGGCCGGAGCCACAGCCAAGCCATGGACAGCAGGAGGCCCAGCAGTCCCTGTAGGGGGCACAGGCTGGGAGCCTGGGGGCAGGGCTGGTGGGGGCTGCTGCTGCTGCTGGTGCATCTGTTGGAAGTGCTGCTGCCGGGCCCTCATCTCTGCATACTTCAGCTGCTCCATGTGGAAGGCCTGTCTGTCCGCCAGGAGCTGCTGCCTCTGATATTCCAGCTGCCAGAGCCAATGGCATACCGTTACGCAACTTTCACAAGATCCTAAAGGCCTTGCCCCTGCTTTGTCTTCACAAAGACCCTACCCCTTATCCTGGCGGTTCCCAAAATGTCAATCTCGTGCCTGTGCTTGCCCTGTCCTCCGGCCCCAGCTCTGTGAATCCCAAGACCTTCATGTCCCCTGGCTGCCTACGTGGTTTCTCGCTGCAGTGGAGTCCATCTGACTCATTGCAGCTTCCAAGCTTTGAATTTGCCATTACCTTGATTTGGAAAATACTCCAGTTGCTCTTGTCTCAATTCCTGTTCCTTTATTCTCTCAAAATTGGCTAAAAACTCACGGTTCTTACGAAGCCATCCCAGATCACTTCACCAGCCTCTGAACTTTGACTTTAGTCTGTGTTCTCCTGGGACTTGACTTAATTTGAAATCTCTTAATCTGAACACCAGACACTTTAAGATCATTTCTAATATCTCCATATTGTATATTTGATGCCCCCAATTATACCTTAAGTTCTCTGCTCTCTGCTTCTGTTTCCTTTCATGTCCTCTCAAAGATAAAATGGTCTGATACCTTATCTATTCAGGCCCTTTCCAAGTTCACTACTGGCTCCAAAGCCCCTCCCCACTCTTCATCCCTTAAACTCATTCAATCACTGAACAAATATTTCTTGGGTCTACTATGGGTCAAGTACTGTCCCAAGGATTGGAGATACAGCAGTAAAGACCCAACTATAATCTCTGCCCCAAGGAGCCAATCTTAGTCTCCAGGTCTCACTTGGGAGGCCAGTTCTGCTCAACTGCTGGAGGTGGGTTTCCGCTGCCCAGGCCTGCCGACTGCCCTCCTCTTTGGAGGTCTACCAGCTGCAGGTGTTCGGCATGGCTGCTTGTCTCTCTCTCTCACACCCTGCTCCCATCCTAAACTGAGGCACAGCTCAGTCCTGAGGCAGGGGGCAGAGCGCCCACTGATCCCCGACGGAGGGAGGCTACTCACTGCTTCTCGCTCCCGGTCCATGATCGTCTCCAGCTCCTCAAAGTGCCGGAGCTTGATCTCCAACTTTTTCATCTGAGTCTCCACTAGCAAGGCCACCAATGATTTGATTTTTCTCTCTTCAACGGCAGCCAAATGCTGGGCAGGAGGGGAGGGG